CTCTCTCTCTCTCTCTCTCTCTCTCTCTCTCTCCTCTCTCACTCTCTTAAAAAATAAAAGAAGTAGTTGAACACAATATCTTTATTTTATTTATTTTTATGTGGTGCTGAGGATGGAACCCAGGGCCTCGCACGTGCTAGATGAGCGCTCTACCACTGAGCCACAACCCCAGCGCCCCCCATCTATGTGGTTTTTTTTTTTTCCTGTGTGTGTGTGTAAAATATGTTTTATTGTTCTTTAAAGGGGTTCAGTGTTTGGTTTTAAATCAGGCTGCATACCTTAACACGTACCCAGATCAGGAAGTCCCCAAGCTATGGAACTGGGCTCCTGCTTGATGCCATCTGGCAACCTGCTATGTGTTAGGGCCAAGACTGGCTCCCAGCCACAGGGGCCATCCTGTGGAGCCCATTGTGCTCTTTATTATTCCCTGTCCCAGATGCATCCCCTCCACCTGCTTTCTGGAATCTTCCACCCACCTGCCCAGGTACCCCTCAGTATCCCTTGTCCATTCCCCTAATTGACGTTCACTGGATGTGAACTTTCAGAGACTGTTCCAAACGCCTGAGATGATCCACTTACAGAGGGAAAAGGTCTATTTTAGCTCACAGTTTTGGAGGCTGCAGTCCATGATCAGTTAATCCTTTTGCTATGGGCCTATGGTGGCCCAGTGGGGAAGGAGCAGAGTGAGAAGGAGGAAGAGGAAGAAGCTGGGTTCCCTAACTCCCTTCAAGGGCATCCCCACCCCATGACCTAGAGGCCTCCTCAGGCTTCCTCCACCTCCCGGGAAGGACCCAGCTGGGCATCAAGCCTGCGACACATAGGCCTTTAAGGGACACTTGAGACCCAAGCTATTGCACTGGGGACCTTCCACGTCTGCTTCCTAAGCTGAGGGTGCAGAGCAGAGCCCCCCAGCATCACTGCCTCTTTTCCTAAGCCCCACCCTGGGCCTCTGGGCCTCCCCATCCTGGACTTCAGAGGCCGCTACATCTTCTCCCAGGTTCTCAGGGTCCCCAGCGTGACTCCAGTTTGTCTCACTGACCCCAAGTGACCCACCTTCACTGAGGCCTTCCCAGACCTGCGCCAGCCTTCGCTGTCTGCCAGCAACACTGGCATTCAATTAGACATGCCTCCCAGGACCTGGTCTGCTTGCTCCATCCCGCCTTAGAAAACCCAGCTCTTTCCAACGTGTGGTTACTCTGTTGCAGATTTTTGTTTCTTTGCTGGGGAGGGGACAGCCACTTTGCTCTCAGGTGTTCCCACTGGGATCCTCCTGGCCTCGCCCTGCCTTGGAAGGTCTTTGTCTTTACTCAGGATCAGTGACCCTCACCAGGGCAATGCTTCCAAGTGTCGAAGGTTGTGGGCCCGGGTTGTGGAGACCCTGCGCACAGGGCTCTTCCCCTGGATTCTGGCTCTGCAACTGCAGGCTGCATTGAGCTGCTGTATTTGTTGACCTAACATTGTCATGTGGCTCTCCTACAGCGTTAGGATAGCACCCATCTTCTCTCTGTCCCTCTGGAGTGTTCTTTTTTGGGGGAGAGGGGAACCGGGGATTGAACTCAGAGGCACCCAACCACTGAGCCGCATCCTCTGCCCTACTTTGAGTTTTATTTAGGGACAGGCCTCCCTGAGTTGCTTAGCGCCTGACTTTTGCTGAGGCTGTCTTTGAACTCACGATCCTCCTGCCTCAGCCTTCACACCTCTGGCATTTTTTGCTGAAATGGGCTGGGCAGCCACGGTTGGGGCAGAGGACCACAGAGGCACCGAGGGAAGAGGGGGCTGAGGCTGGAAGGAGACAGGGAGGAGGCAGAGGAGCAGCTGCCATGGTGGATCAAGAGGGGGAGGCCCTGGGACACGGGGCCCCGGGCTTGGGCAGCTGGGTGGGTGGCGGCAGCAACCTGACCAGGAGAGTCTGAGAAAAGAGGGGTAGGGCATGGGAGGAGGGGAGATGGGACCCCAGACCAAGGGCCACCTCCAAGGTCAGCAGAGGCCAGACTGAGTCTCCCTGGTCCCCAGGAGTTGGCTGCCCACTTGGGGCGGGTGCCCTACAGGGCCCAAAGTGTGGACTTACTGTGTTAGGTCTAGAGGCTTCTGGCCACCTGGGCCCTGGGACTGGAAGACAGGCAGGGCCCCGCCCCAACTACACCAGGCCTCCAGGAGGAAAATCAATGGGACCCACATCTTGTCGTAGAAATGTTTAAAAGGCCCAAGTCCCACAAAGAATGTAATGGACAGTGTCCTCTCCTCTTGGTCGTCCACCCCCAATAGGCCCTGGATGGACTACGTGGAGTTCCAGAGTTCTAGGCCAAGCCCAGAGAGAGTTACCCTGGGCTTGGGGGGTGATGTGCAGGGGCCCAGGGCTCTTGTGTAGCCCCCTCAAGGCCCGCCCACAACTCTCCTGGCCCACGGGTGAGGACAAGGGCCCTGCAGGCCTGGAGGACCCTCCCAGCAGGAAACTCCCAATTCCAAGGACCCAGAGGGGCCTGGGGTGGGGGGGGGAGGGGAGGCACAGGGCCCATGAGCCCCCTCCTCAGCCCTGCAGCTCCTGGGCACCAGGAGAAGGGGACGAGTGTAGCTGGCGCACAATAAATCAAAGAAACAGATTCAGAGTAGCCCTTGTTGTTTATTTTTCAATAAACAAAGGTTTTTTTTGCATGTCTGGACTGGTGTTTAAACGGAAAAGCTAAAAAGAGCGTCATTGACAGTTCTTTAACATTTTGGTTTCAGAATTATTGTCTTCCTTCTCTTAATTTGGGACCGAATTGGGGGACATGTCTCTGACGGCTGTCTTTGAGCTTCTCCGTTTATTTCGTAAACTACATACTACACCAAGCACACACAAGGTGTGGGTGGGCAGCCAGGGATCCCGACACTCTCAGCAGATCTGGTGAACCCACAGAGGATGGAATGGACCATTTCTGCGTGACGTAAGACCGAGGCGAGGCTGCTGATGCCGCTCCAACTGCACTGGGGTGCGTGCGGGTGGGTGCTGTGGAATTTGGGTGGGGCGGCCTCATTAAGTGCTGGTAATAGGTGGTTTGTCACGTGGGGTGGTGGTGGTGGTGGCATTCTGAGGGAGGGTCTGCTCAGGACCCTCCGCTCCCACGGAATTTACCTGCACTGCTCTGGGCTCCCTGCGGACACAGGCCGCTCGCTCCCCTCCCCTGAGCCTGCAGTGCCTCAGCTCCCCGCACCCTGCCTTGCACACAGCAGGTGCGTGGAGGTGCTCCCAGGTGGGATGATGGTGGATGATGAGTGAGTGGATGAGGAACCGTCAGGGACAATAGCCGGACCTCTTTCTGTCCTCCTTCAGGGGACTCGGCTATTCTCCATACCACGGAGATTGAAAAGAAAACATGGAGTCTGGAACTCGAATGGGTTGTCCAATCTTAGAATTTCGCGTGGGGGAAACTGAGGAGCAGAATTGTCAGCAGACTCCATCAAGGTCTCACGCTGAGAGCGGCCAGGCGGGGAACCAGCCACCGCCTGGCACGTGCCAACAATTCTTTTTTTTTGTCTTTTTAAAATTTTTATTTCATAAAATGAACTCAAAGTGAGATGTAATGACCATGTGGATGACGTGGTGAGAGGAGGGTCACAGGGACGGGGGCAGGCCAGGGGAGCGGGGGGAGGGAGATGGTCATCAGGGCTGGGAGGGGGTTCGCCGGGCAGGGGAGTGGGATCAGGGGAGAGGACGTGGATGGGGGAGGGGCTTGGCTGTGGGTCAGGGCGAGGGTGGGGAAGTGGCTGGAGTCGGGGAGCCCGGACACCCTGTGGAATGGAGTCGGGGAAGGCTGGGGTAAAGTGGAGGGGGACTTCAGGGTGACACTGGGAGGGGCTGACGTGGTCCAGGGTCTGGGTGGGAACTTTGTGGGTAGGAGGGACTTGACAGGGTGCCCATGACCAGGGACTGGGGGTGACCAGAGTGACCAATGGGAGAGATGACTGGAAGTGACTATGAAGAATTCTTTGAACGGGCTTTGAAATGACATGAACTGGGACAGAGACGGGGAGTTGATGAGGTGGATGACCATATGACGGTGGCGCAGATGACCCATGGGTGGCGACGGAAGTGTGTGTGGCTGTGATCTGGATGACGGTAGATGAGGAGGGTGGCAAGGACTTGGAAATAAGCACTTGGAGCAAGGTAAACACGCAGCTCATACTTAATAAAGCTACAGTATAGCTCTCTATCCAAATAACTTAAGAAGCAAAATATCCCTAGCTGGTAAACAGGGGCTGTGTCGCTGCCTAGTCCTGAGCAGGGCTGGGAAGCCACACAGAGCTCTGTCCCATTTCCCTCTATTTTTCGCAAAAAAGATAGATGCTCTTTAAAAAAAAAAAAAAGAAGAAGAAAAGAAAAAAAAATCAAATTCAGAAGCTGGCTAGGTCTTGGGATCTGAGGATTATTAACTCAGCAACACAAATGTAAATCCATGGCCAGGTCTCAAGCTACTTTTGCCATAGAAGAAGAAAGCGCCCCACAACAATTTCCACCAACTCTGTGAAAACCTTGGTGAGGGGCTGTGCTGCTGCTCAGACTTTGCCAGGGGCACTTGCGGTTCAAGGTGCGTGGGAGTGGAGGGTCGTGTCTAGTCTACGGGTCTCGCTGGGGGGGGTGGCAGGTGTGGGCCTTGGGCTGGGGTAGGGGGGCAGGCTGCCTAAGAGGCAGCTCCCCATGGCATATTATGACTCAAAGGGGCCAATTGTTCCCACGGGGGAAGTGAGCCAGGAGGCTCCCCGCTTTGAGAAATGTAGTCAAGATCCATCTCAACATCAAGTGTGCATCCAGGATAGGCCAAAACCTTTCGGATCTCAGGATGAGACTTAGTCTTCATCAGATCCTGTTCTCAGGGTCAGGACACATTTCGGTACACATCCCTTGTTCCTAATTCTGAATTTTTTCTGTAGAGTCAGGACCTGGGTGGTGGGTGCTGCCACCCCTCTGTGGAGGGGGGCGAGAAGTGTGGGCCCGGGGATTGGGGTGGGGACTCGCCAAGGATCACACCGCGAGTTAGTGGCAGGGCTGGGACAGGGTCCCGACCCCCCAGCAGTCAACCCGGGGCTCTCTCTGCCTGACACACTGCCGCTGCACTCTGTGGAATCTCAAATCAATCAGAAAGACCTCAGGGGTGCGGTGCGGAGCAGGAGGTGAGTGCGAGTCGGATGTGACGTGTGAGAATCAACGAACCAAAGAGATTGTAGCCCTTTCACAGTGGATGGTCATGCACAGCACTCGTGTCGGTTTCTGCGAGGACTCTGAGGCTGAGACCCCTGGGACAGGGATGTCGGTCCACAGAGCCCTGGTTCTGTTACCATGTTTTTTTTTTGTCTTTTGAATTTTTTTTTAGAGTTTAGAATAACATACTTATTTCTTTTACTCGTTTAAAGATGAAATTCTTATTATTATTCGTCAGCATGCATTAATAAGAGAGAGAAAGAGGAGATAGTCTCCGTGGGCATAGCGCTTGTCACACGGCAACACAAAAGCAATACAGGTAAGCATAGCGTTCACTAGATTTCACACAGAAAAAAGCAAATTCCACCACAAAGATTAGCACAGACCGCATGTAGTGAGCTCTGCGAAACCCCGAGAATATAGAGGGGCCTGTGGGGATACTGCTTAGATCTCCTCCTCGCCCGCCTCCTTGCTGAAGGTGGCCATGTCGATCTTCTCGGGGAAGATGATGTTGACCGCCAGGTCTTCCCCGCTGTTGTACTGCAGCAGCAGGTTCTTCTTCTTGCGCAGCATGTGGCTGTAGCGCAGGTTGGACACCCAGGCCTCGCACTTGTTGAGGAAGACGATGCCCACGGTGCCCAGAACCACCAGGCTGGTGAGCACGCCCAGGATGGTGAAGCAGATGGCCTGACCCTCGGTGAGGAGAGGGGTACTCTTGTTGAGCTCTTTCATGGACACCTTCAGGATGCGGTGCTCAGGCTGCGCCACTGGCAGCTCATGCACCCCGGGGGTCAGGCGGTAGGTCAGCCCATAGCCACTGGGCAGATGGGTGACCTGCGAGGGGCCGACCAAGCGCTTCTTCACGCAGGTGGGACCCGAGTACGGGGCCTTGCACAGACACTCGTAGCTCACCTGGGAGTGCTGCAGGCAGGTGCCCCCGTTCTGGCAGGGGTTGCTAGCGCAGACGGTCACCGTGCGGCTGCAGGTCTTGTCCATAAACCCAGTCGGGCAGCGGCAGCGGAAGTCACCCCCTATGTCGGTGCAGACGCCATCGTTCTCGCACGGGTTGGGGGTGCAGCTGTTGGCCACGATCTCGCAGAAGTTGCCCGAGAAGCCAGGGGGGCACAGGCAGGAGGCATGGGAGGCCCGGCCCTCATCATCCACGCAGGTGCCTCCGTGCTGGCAGGGGGAACTGCAACACAATAGGACATGGTAAAGGCCCTCGGGGGTGGGCCAGGACAGGGATGTCGGGGTGCGAAGGCGGGTGGGGGAGGCCAGGCTCCTCAGCTGCAAGGTCCAGGACCTGACCAAAGGACAGGGGCTCCCACACAGCAGGCGAGGGAGGGAAGGAATGCCAGCCAGGGAGGCACTGGGACCCCTGGCTGCAGGGGCTCACCAGCTCACCCCACCCACGATGCCAACCTGGAACACACCTGACCTCCCACCCAGGACGCCCACGTCCTCTCCCACCTGTTATTTCACCCAGAGGACCGAGGGCTAGTTGCTAGACAGGTGGGGAAACTGAGGCTGGGAGAGGAATCACTAGGGACAGCCCAGGTTTGGAGCGAGCCCCTTCCCTTAGCTCCGGCTCTGGGCTGCTGAGGCAGAACCAGGAGGAGGGGCATCGCTCACACTCTCCCGGGCTCTGGTGCCCTGGCCCCGTCTGTGTCCCCCCGCCCCACTCCCACCCCGTATTATTATTTTTCTTCCTGGTGAGGGAGTGGGCCTTGCAGGCTATTGTGAGGGAAACCCTTGGGGACTCTCAGAGTGAAAGCAATGAGCTCTGTCTAGGCTGGTGGCAGCCGTGTCTGTGGCAGGCTGTTTAACAGGGGCCCATTCACCCAAGGGCAGCTTGCAAACTGAAGCCCTGTGCTCAAAGCCAAGCACACACGGGCATTTAATGTAAGTGCTTTTAAAGGAGCAAGCCCTTTGTCATTCGATAAATGCCAAACTCCAGGGAAGAAAGGAATCGGCATGGCGGCTCTGGGTGGGGGCACACAGGAGCTGGGCTCTGAAGGAATCTCAAGGAGGGGGCAAAATATTATAAATGTCTCATCTTTTTTTTTTTTTTCCTTCTTCTTGCTAAAAGGGAGAGGCAATGGAGTCTAGCTGTCACCTCCCTCAGCTGACCCCCTTCTGAATACTGATCTTTGGAGGACACGTTCATGTCTGTTTAAAGCTACGGCCTCCTGGGCACTCTATGCCACCCTGAAGGGGCAGGTCAAAGGTGCTCATTGTAGAAGGACACCCCAAACCAAGCCCCAGCGCAGGCCCCGGACAGGGTTCTTTCTGTGCTTTAGATTAATGAATTCAGATCCCCCTCCCCCCATCACCACCTCCCCTGGCCTCAGCCTAAGGCCCGTCCCAGGGTGAGGGCTGCTAGATCCCAGAGCTGGCCCACTGCTTTCTCTGTCCCCTCCCAGCCCCGCAGCCGGTGGCTCCCTTTCCAGATATCCCAGGAAATCCAACTGCAGAGCCCACCAGGTCCCCAAAGTGCCTGCCACCATGTTAAGTGGGTTTCACAAACAGCCTGGCCCTGCTGAACTCTGATCTCCTATTATGTTGCCTTTAGAAAATTATGCAGCTCGGAGTGCCCGTTCCCCATTCCAATCTACTGTCATTCACACACATCAGGACTTGGGAACACCAAGAGAATATGAAATCACCTTCAGGCTCCTTTGAAAAAATTATGAAGATGATGCCTCCCCCCCCCTAAGCACACATCTAAAGTGGCTCTCCATGGGATCCTGGGGACACTTACATCTTTTCTTAGGTGACAGGTACAACAGGGTCAGGCCAAAAGGGCCTTCAGGAGAAGCAAGACTCAAAGGCAGCCATCATCTGATCACACAGAGTGGGGAGGAGTACTTACCCATTGATCACGCAGGGTCCGTCCTTCTCCTGGCAGTCCTGGCCAGAGAATCCAGGGGGGCAGGAGCACTCGTAGCGGCCGCTATCGAGGTCCACGCAGGTCCCATTGTTGGAGCATGGAGTAGAGGTGCAAGCCCTGACATCTGGGGGGTACAGAAAAAAATCCCACTTAGCTTCTGTCCCAGATGCTAGTGTGGCAGGGATCCCGGCTGAGCTGCCAAATGACTGCTGTAGCTACTAAGTGGGGTTCACAGTCAGAGGGTATACTGACCCCCAAACTGAGGGTGGGGGTTTGCTTAGAAGGTCACAAGTCAGAAAGCCAGGGCTCCTGATGTCCAGCTCAGGACAGCTGCCCCCCTTCCTCCATCCCCCTCAAGTCCAGAAACAGGTATCCCTCCCATGAGATTCCTTAGTGCTCATCTCCTCCACACATACCTGGGAGAGGGGGTCCTCACCATTTGGGGGACTAGTCCAGCCCAACCCTTGTAGAAAACCACCTGCCCATCATGCTTTTCCATCAAAGACCCCTGTCAGGCACCAAGACATCTGATTCACCCCACTGCTGCCTGCACCGGCCTGTGGTCTTTCTGCTCACAGGTTCCAAATTAAGGGGGTCCAGAATTAAAAGGCTGAATCTTTTGACGGCGGCAAAATCCAAGCGCCTCCTGCCCACACGGGTTTCCATGAACACTAGCGCACTCTCTCTGTCTTTAACGCCCCCTGCCATGCTCACTTCATTATTCGGGCTCGACAAGCTAGTGATGAGCTGAACAAAGGGCCTGGGTCAGGGGCTCTGCGCTGGTGGAGACCTCAGCTCCCAGGCAAAGCCAGGTCCCTTTCTGCTGAGTGGCAGAAAGTCCACCTCCCCACCACTCTGTGCCTCAGTTTCCCTCCTCATAAAAAGAAGGGGTCTCCCTGGCTGATCCCTGAGGGGTTTCTGTAATTTGGGCTGCTGCACCTGCCCAACAGAAAGCCAGGGTTGTCCAGGGACAGCAGGTGACGGCAGGCGGGGGCAGTGGTGGTGGGGAGCTGGCTAACTCCACGTGTGCAGAGCCCCCCCCCTTCAAAGAGACCCCCTCCCTCCCTCGTGGAAGGGAGACTGCAATCCGTCAGCAAGGGAAAACATGAACGCCATGTTGATGGGCTCTCGGTGGGAACCCGGCCTGGTGCAAGGAAACCACAAGGAGGATTTATCTTTCTGGGACAATGCCGGGGGAGCCTTAGCATGGGGAGCCTCTGCAGCAGGGTCCTAGTTCTTCCCTCTTGCCTCCCCTGTCACTCCGAATGTCAGATTTAAGCTAAATAGCTGGTGACCACCCCCAGACTGACCCTGCTCCTCTCCCTGAAATGCCAAGCCTTGGGATTCACGCATCAGCCCCCCCCAGGCCAACCCAAAGCACTGCCGATGACACCGCTCCCAGCAGGGGCTGGGGGTCTCCAGCTCAGCAGCAGCTGTGTGCCCAACAGGGGAGAAGGGAGAGGGCAGGTAATTACCCAGAGGGCTATTCCTGCAATGCGCCCCCAGACTCTCCAGGCCCCCACCAGACAACCTGTCAACCTGGTGGAAAGGGGTGTGCTGAGGGAGGGAGGATTTTGTCTGAAAACTCCTGTACAGTGTTCTGTGTTCAGATACCAAAGAGGGGAGGCTCTAGGTTAAAAGCCTGACTCTGACCCCTAACCGTGGCTTTTCCACGGTCCTTTGAATCCCAAGATGGCTCAGAGCTGCTGCTGGTGCCGACACTGCTGCTGCAGCGGCAGCAGCGAGGGGCTGCGGAATTGCTGGCCAGAGCGTGAGTCAGCTGCAGATCAGCCCTGCACCATGATGGGGGTCAGATTTTAAGGGCCAGAGACAGTGGGAGGGGGAGCCCCCTTTGCTTCTGTGGTCCTCAGTTTCCCTATTTGTGCCACACAGCTTTTCTAATACTGGGGAGAGAGGCCTTGGGGCAGCTGCGTATGCTGCTGGGAGATTTTTTTTTTCAGGACTTTTGTTCACTGGGACTTTGGGGAGGGTTTTGCCAAATGAGAGGGGTACAGACAAACATTTTGCAGCCTAAAAGGGCAGCCCCAGCCAACACTCAATTGCTCAGGGTAATGGAGGACAAAAATGGCATGAATTAATGAACTCAACAGATAACACCAATCTGCACTTTAACCCCTTCTTGGCTCTCCAAACCCCCAGCTTCCTGCCACAATGGACCACTGAGCGCTGGCAGCCTGTCCCTTCCTTACAGATTCAACCCCACTCACCCTTCCCTCTCTGTTTCTGTTTGTCCCTGGCGTTTTGCATTTACAGTGTTCCATATGACTTTCTTGGTGTCTAAGCCCTGAGATACCCCAGCCCGTCCCCATCTCTGTATTCTGGTAACTTACACAGGTTGCCTGGGGTCCACAGTTCAAGCTGCTCAGCTGTGTGTGGTGTTGTTTATTTTGTAACTTTTTATTCAACAGGCAGCTCCCCCTCACCCCCATCCCCAAAGCCTTCTCAGGATGCTAACTGTGCAGAGGTGAGCAAAATAAAGTCCCTACCTTTAAGGAGGCTTTGGGCCCCAGCGGGAAGCCATAGAGGTCTTTACAACAGAAGGCTCTAGGTGTGCTGGAATTAGGCGCCAGGGGGAAGGGAGGCGGCGGGAGGGGGGGGCAGGAGGTCGGGGAGCAGGGAGGACAGTGGGCAGAGGAGAGTGCCAACCTATGTCACAGAGTTTTCCGTCCCAGCCATCCTTGCAGATGCACTGCCAGGGTTCCTCACAGAGTCCGTTGACACAGCCAGGAGAGGTCACGCACTGGTCACACAGGGGACCCTGCCAACCAGGCTGGCACCTGTAGGAGGGACGGGAGGGCGGGGGGCAGATGGGAACATATGAGGTGGGCAGGGGTGGAGAGGGCACTCAGGCTGCTTTTTGTGGACCCAAGAGCCCTGGGGACAGGGAAGGCTCTGCATAGTGCCCGGCCAGAGGGTCCCAGGAGCAAACACCAATCACCTGAATAGAAAAACTCAGAGAATGTGCCAAAGGACAGTCATTGGGGTCCCTGAGAGCTTAGGAAAGCTGCATTTTGCCGCAGTGGCCCGCAGTGGTCTCACCCTGCAAGGGGCTCTCTTCCTCCCCCTGCCCTCCACAGCCCCCACCATTTCCACCCCTCCTTATTCCCCCACCCGTTTTTCTGCAGAGGCAAGGAAGCTGTGTGACGCAGCACAGTGGCCATGTCCCCCCTTTCTTTAGCCTGACTCCAAGATTCCCCATGACTTTGCCCTGGCCCCCACCAGCTGCTTCTGAGGACCTACTCCATTACCTGCAAACATTGTCATCCTCGCAGAATCCATTTTTAGGGTCACAGGCCGGAACGCATTCAGCTCCTGAGGCACAAGAAAGGTTACAATTCACCCCACAAGGGCCCAGCAACCAAGGCAAAGCCCATTTTCTTCTAAACAGACCACTGTCTGCCCCCGGGGGGGGAGCAGACGACCCTCTTGGGTCCTAACAGCCTGGCACACAGTAGGTACTTCTTATCTGTGGATGGAAGAGGCTGAACCTGCTGGGAAAGAATGCTCGGCCATGTTCCTAGCCAAGACACCAAAGAACACCCCCCAGTTCCCACAGCAGACAGACGCCTCTTTTTCCTCAAAGAAAACACCTAAGGAACCTCAAATCCTTTAAAAGCGGGCCTGGGGATGGAGGAGGGGGTGCTCTCCACCCTTGAGCTCAGCCAGACCCTCATTTTTGCACAGTGGGCTAACAGGGGGGGGGCAGATTTTGAAGTGCGCAGTTTAGAAAAGCCCAGGCAGATTCACCTGGCTGCTCCCAGGTGAGGCAGCTGGTGGTTTTACAGGTTCATCTCTGTCAAACCAGGCACCCAGGTCACATTTCCCCTTTTCCCTACCCCACAGTCTTCACAGAAAGGGGGACCCACAATCATACTGCAGAGTGGGCTGAATTTTAACACTGTTAAAAGACATTCTGACACTTTAACAGGCACCTGCTGTATGAGGTTATTCAACCAGCTTTCTAGATAGCCCCCCACACACAGAACCACTGGCGCAGAGGGGGCGGGGGGCACTGCGGGAAGGGGGCAACTCTCTCCGCCGCCAGAGACAGATGGCCGCTGCAGAGAGAAGTGCCGCAGCCCCTCACCTAGAGAAACGCGCAACGCCACGCAGGAGGGGCTCAGACTGGGATCCTGACGGGAATGGGGGGCTCCCACGGCCAAGTCACTTCCCCAAATGCCCCCCAAGACCTGCTCTCAACACGCACGCAGGGACACCCCCAAAGTTGCGCCACTGAGCATTTCTATAGAAGACCTCCCGGCATCGCCGCTTTTTTTCCATACCTCCTCAATCAGCGCAATGACACCCCTCCGAGCACCACTCTGTGAGGCGGGAAGGGGCTGGGGTCTCCACCTCCCCTACTCCAGGGACCCCAGGGGCGGGTTGGGCATGCAATGATGGAGGGGAGGGCGAGCGGGCTTAGGGTTAGGTGGGACAAGCGGGACTTGGGGAGACCCGAGGCGCGCGGGGCCAGGGGCGACCAGCGGGGCATCGCAGGCTTCCCCAGAGGGGGCGCGAGCCAAGCCGCCGGGGGTCTCACCATGGGTGCTGTGGCCGATAGCCAGCAGGAGCAAGAGGACGCGCAGGAGGGCTTCGGTCGCGGTCATCGCGGGGTGGCCGGGGTCGCGGTCCAGGGAGCGGTGCAGGCGCAGATCCGGCTCCGGGAGCTGCGCTGGGCTTCTGGTTGCGGACG